TGTATGCCATGTCAATTAAATCTCAACAAAATTTTGTTTTGCTTTTTTTTTTTTGGGTAATGCTATGGATCGAGCCTAGGTTCTCACACATGCTAAGTAATGTTCTACCACTGAGCTACTATCCCCAGTCACTCAATGTAATTTTTTTTTTTTTTTTTTTTTAGTGAAGGAAAGAACAAAATATAGAAATGAAGAATAAGATAAAGAGAGAAAGCATCAAATATTAAAGATAAGTGAAGAGTTAGTATGGACAACAAGACATATACTATGTACTGTAATTCAAGAAAACTTTCCTGATGGGCTGGGGTTATGGCTTAGTGGTAGAGCGCTTGCCTAGTGTGTGTGGGGCACTGGGTTGGATCCTCAGCACATTAAAAAAATAAAGTTATATGTCCATCTAAAATATATTTTTGAAAAACTTTCCTGATATGAAAAAAATTTGTAATTACCTATGTTGAAAGACTATACCATGCTGAAAGTATCACTTTAGTGTGATTCACAGTGAGATGCATCACGGTAAAACTACTGAATTTTACAGGGAAAGAAATGTGTGAGCCAAGATTTATACCCAATAAAACTGGCCTTTGAACATAAAGGATACAAACACAACTTTTCCAATAAGCAGCTCTCCAGAAATGCCACTCTAGGAGCCCACCACTCACCTAGAGATAGACGAGCCTCAGATAACCAAGTAACCCAACTGCCCAACATGGATTGACGGCACACACAGCATAGGCCCTTGCAGAGCTGAGATGATGGGCTAAGATGACCACACACTACATAATGGAGACCTAGTGCCATCGTAAAACACAAGAATGCAGGTACGTGGATAAAAACACTTCCCACAGTTTTCAGTCATTGCAAATGGTGCTGTTAGTCCGAGTGCAATTGCTCTCAGAATGCTGTGTACCTACAACGGGATGACAAAAAGCAATGAGAGGAAATTTGGAGTCTATGATCCCCTGAGTCCCTGAGAACCAGAACCCTGGGGTGGGGTAGAGAAGGAAATTCAGATGTGATCCAAAAGAGACTGAATGAAAACGCTAGTTGTTAATTTGAACTGTTCTGAATACCTATATGAACTCACATGTATTTTACTCTTAAAAATACAGGTGGATAGGTGGGTGCACTAGAGCATGCCTGTTATCCACAGTAACTTGGGAGACTGAAAAGGATCAAAAGTTGGGGGCCAGCCTTGGCAACTGAGGAAGACCCTGTCTTAAAATAAATAAAATAAAGGATTAGGAATGAAGTTCAGTGGTAGAGTTCTAGGTTCAATCTCTAGTACCAAAAACAAACCCCAAACTGAACAGGTGCATGGTCTTGTTATCTCAGGCAGCCTATATACATATACATCCACTGTTCCCTGTTTCCTAGCTCTGCCACCTAAAACATGTAGAAACAATGACCAGCCTGCAGCCTGGTATTATGCACGCTGAAGGTCTAGAAACACCCCCTCCCATGAAGGAAACCATCCTTCCTGGAGGCTGGGCAATGCAGGGTCTAGGGCAGGAAGTGCACTGGTGGGTTGAGTATCCTGACCCAGACAGCAAGGTGGCCATCAGCATCAGTGGAGGCCAGTCAAAAGGATGCAGAAGTCAACTTGAAGAGGGTCCTGCTGGCCAAAGGCAGGCCAATTTGCAGGTAAAAAAAGGATCAGAACTGCAGCAGATCAAAATTCATCAAATGCATTTACATTTATGAGTTCATAAAAATATTAAATTTTTAAAAAAGTTACTTCATCACCTTCTCATTATAAAAACGATTCAGCTCTTTATCTTCAAAACTAAGTAAACAAGACAGAAATGTCAAGCATTTTTTCTATACTGGGTGGTCAAGTAGAACCCCAGGTGTGTGCTCTCTGCACCCCTTCCATTCATATGGCCAGCAAATGACCCTAGTGATAAAAACAGTAACACCAACAGAGGTTGGACCTGAAGCCTGCAGATGGTAGATGCAGCTATAATCAGGGTCAGAAAATGGGCAAGACCAGATTATGGCGGTTACACCACAGTCAGACATGGTTGATAAGCCATATAAATAAGAAATACGGTTTTTGAGGGAAGAGGCTGTTTAGGATTGAGGTGCAAAGCGGGGGCTTCTAGGATTATTGACAACTGGTAGTTTTTGATCTGGATGGTGAGAGCCAGTTCAAAACATTTCTTTATATTCTATTTGCTTCCCACATCTGAATTTGTTTCAGAGTAATGAGCTAAAGAAAGCCACTTATGCTTGTTACTCTTCAGGCACTGTTCTATATTCTTTGTGGTCCTGTACGTGAATTCATTCTATTCTCCCAGTAACTAGAGGAATACTTCTCACCTCCATTTTTTAGAAGAGAAGAGAGGAGAGAGATCAAGCTATAAAAATGTGTGAAAGGGGGCTGGGGATATAGCTCAGTTGGTACAGTGCTCGCCTCGCATGCACATGGTCCTGGGTTCAATCCCCAGCAACACACACACACACACACACACACACACACAAAAAAAAAAAGGCGTGAAAGGATGCTCACCTCATTAGTAATCAGACAATACAAATTCTATCCAGATGCCACTGTCCAGTTTTCAACAGGCACAAATCTGAAGGTCAGACAGTATGACTGTGGGCAATAAGAAGAGCACTAAGAATGAGGCACTTCAGGAGGTAAGAAAGTGCGTGCTCTCTGCACTGACCCAGGCACATACTGACTCTCCACAATGCTTACATGCTGGGGAAATGTTTCTTGGGTGCAAAATAACATGCACTAGGATAGTCACCGCTTGTTGTTTGCAATAAACGAAAGCTGAACACCATCAAAGCAGACAGAATAAGATGTGGCATACTCATATGAGGGAAAGTAACAGTACCTGAACAGAAAAGTTTCATATCAACTTGTTCATCTCTCAAAACATAACTGAAGCTGAACACAGTGCCCCATGCCTGTAATCCCAGTGGCTCAGGAGGCTGAGGCAGGAGGGTTGCAAGTTCAAATCTAGCCTCAGCAACTTAGAGAGATGCTAAGCAACTCAGTGAGACCCTGTCTCTAATAAAACACAAAATAGGGCTAGGGATGTGGCTCAGTGGTCTAGTGCCCCTGAGTTCAATCCCCGGTAACACCCCCCCTCCAAAAAAAAGCACAGTACATACACCACTTACAGACACACATCTGTAGAGGACCATCATGTACTAGAAGGGTATGTACCAAGTTTGGTGACAGCAGTCTCTCAGGAGGAGAGTAAAACAGAGAGATTGGGGGTAGAAAGGTACTTTATATTATTGGTACCATTTTATTTCTTTTATTTTAAAAATTACAAGCTGGGTACAGTGGTGCATGCCTGTAAGCCCAGCTACTGAGGAGGCTGAAGCAGGAGGATGGTAAGTTTGAGACCAGCCTCAGAAAAAGTAGCAAGACCCTGTCTCAAAATAAAAATTAAAAAGACTGGGGCTGTAGCTCAGTGGTACAATCCCCAATATCTATCAATCAATCAATCAATCAATCAAGATGGAGATGGAGCTCAGCAGTAGAGCACCCCTGGGCTGAATTTCCAGTATTTCAAACCATCTTCATCATCATCATTATCATTGTCCAAAACAAGTCCAAGAAAACAACTTAGCCTGGGGTGCTGGCAAGACAAGTGTTTGTGAGATGCTTCAAAGTCTTCAGATTGGACCTAAAGCTGACAGAAGGAAGCACTGCTGATGAACAGTGCTGGGGCCGGTGACCTTGGGCAACTTAGTGCTTCAGAGCCCATCTCTCCATCTGTAAAATGGAGTGACTGCAGGGCTTACCTATAGTGTTGCTGCACAGGTCAGTGAGCATATGCAAATCTCTTGGAACAGCACCTGGGCCAAAGGAAACAGGCCAGCAGCAAACTAGATCTCTCATTGTAGGGAACACAATACAGGAACTTGGTAACCCCCAGAGACAGTGGCAAAATGATGATCTAGATGCTGGTTACACAGACAAGTCCACTTGGTGAATATTGTCACTGATGACAGGCACCTTTGTGCAGGGGTGGGAGAGGAGGGTGGGGAGGGAGGAAGAGAGGGAGGAAAGGAGGGAAGAAGGAAAGGAAAAAATATACCAAGAGTCTACTAAGAAGTATGATATTCAGCTAGGTGCAGTAGCATAAACTTATAGTCCCAGTCATTCAGGAAAATGGCAACTTATCAAGATCATATGTCAAAATCAAAATCAAAATGGGTGAAGTACAATGTAGCTCAGGGTTAGAGTCAGCTGAGGTTCAATCCCACACAGCAAAACAAAACAAAAAAGTTCAGTAGTCATCCTGAACTACTGGCTTAAAAGAAAATCAACTATGAAAAGTTTTAGTGAATACTCCTTCTAAAGATGAAGTAAAAACAAAACTATGTGTTAAGGGAAAAAAAAAAAAAAAAAAAAGAGACACCGTGGCAGTAAATGAGGGCATTTGCATTTGATGAGGTGATGCCATCCCATTCCTGAGATGTAAAGATGCGGACATTATTTATTCAATATCCTCATCAAGTAGATCATAGGTGCACCCTGAAGCACTTACGGGCAAAAATAAAAAAGGAACTTCTAGAATTTGCTTTAAAATAGTCCGGGGGG